CCTCCTTCTTTTTGTAGTTGTAGGGGCACTCACTAAACATTGGCCATTTGGGGGGGGGGGAAATGGTCAGTATTTTCTTCCATTTTTGTGGTGGCTTCCATTAATGAGTATTTGCTTGGCATTTTAATAAAACAATTTAGAGCAAAAGGAAATGAACAGATTTACGAAGCCCAACAACATGCCTTTAAACCCAAGGGCATGTTAGTTGCAGTCTTGAGGTGACTTGATTTCTTTCTTAAGTAATTTTAAAATAATTATAATTTAATTTAAATGTACGTATAAAATCATATGTTTCATTCTTATGTCTCTCTGAAAAGGTGTCCTTTTGTTTTTGACAATATACAATTCAACTTGGAATTTGTTGCCACAAGATGTGGCGCAGCCTATTAGCCCTCAAAAAAATGGTTGGACCAATTTCTGGAAGTCATGGGGGTCAAATGCCTTATTGGCAGTAGAACTGCCTCTTGAAGCCATCTACTGGGAGAATAATGAGGTTGGTCAGCCATTGTGAGAAATGACTGCAGGACTCAGTTGGCCAGGGCTCTGGTCCAACAAGGCTGTAAGGTAAAAGTTCCACTCACACATATGTGCTGCTCCTGACTCTAGGGGGTGGTGCTCAGCTCCATTTCAAAGCTGAAGAGCCAGCGCTGTCTGAAGTCGTCTCTGTGGTCATGTGGCCGGCATGACTAAGCACCGAAGGCTCACAGAACACTGTTACCTTCCCACTTTCCTATTTTTCTACTTGCATTTTTACATGCTTCCGAACTGCTAGGTTGGCAGAAGCTGGGACAAGTAACAGGAGCTCACTCCGTTACACAGCACTAGGGATTTGAACTGCTGAACTGCCAACCTTTCTGATAGACAAGCTCAGTGTCTTAGCCCCAGAGCCACCACGTCCCTAACAAGGCTCTACACATGTTAAAACAACATGAACATGTTCATCTAGTCTCCAGGAGTTAAGCTCAAGTCCTCGAAACATTTTTGATGGCAACCCTCAACACTGGATTACTGATTTAACTTTCTGCTTCAAATCATAGGTGCCTTTGAGAATGGAAAGACAGGAAATGACAAACAAGGATAATGGTGGTCACAACATAAAATCCCTCGGCTTATATACAGTACTTGCATCTGCCATTAGGTCACAAATAGAAAAGGCTGAGATTTGGATCATGACATTGCAATTGTGTCATTCTTTTCTTCATCACGGTATGTGCCAGATGTCTACTCTCAACATCCATACTCAACTCTGCCTACTCTATTTGGTGACCCACCCACAATACAAAGGGAAGAGCATTAAACTGCCTATCTCAGAATCGCCTTTTGATCCAGGGGAGTCTTTAAGCCTGTTTTTAAAAAAATAAAACAGCATATGAGACCAGAAATCTAGCACATAAACTCTCCTTAAGGCAGCACCTCCCAAACTGTTTCCTTCATTACCCCAAACCAGGGGTTCCCAAACTTGGCAACTTTAAGACTAAAGGTGCCAAGTTTGAAGACCTCTGCCCCAAACCATTTGTCAGAAAGTCTTATTGAACTTCAAGGACCATGATAAGTCCCTTCCTTCCATCAAAATTTGAACAGTCACTGAACAAACGGTTGTAACTCAAGGACTACCCGAGTTATAAAACCAACATCACTGAATTATCTTTATGTCATTTCACTAAATTGCCACTGGTAATTTCCCTGATTTGTCATCATGATTTGGAATACTTAGGGAGAAATGACCAATTTCTTTGTATACATGAGGTACAATGACCATAAAGGCTATAGTAGATTTTTGAATGTATTTTAGTACATGTGGCAATCTTGAAGTCAATTGAAATGACCTTGCTGTGATCAGTAATGGGTTCTAGTGTTGTTATTCAAAGAAAAAACAATTTTACCCAATTTGGGGTAATTTACCCAGCTTTGGGAAGCACTGCCATGTTAAACTCTGGTGGTTAGCCGTAGCCAACAATAATTTCCTATTCTTCCAATAAATTGCAGAAAATTGAGGGCGCCTAAATACACTATTGATGTAATGGTTGTAAAAGGCCATGTATGTTGTATATCACTTTAGGGAACTTTTCAGCTGAAAAGTTCCTTTCTTCACCAGCATATATAAGCCCATTTACATATAAACACAGCTCTGGTGTAAATGAATGATAAATGTATGAAAAGACATATAATGAATCAGTGATTTGATGGGATTCTTCCAACATTTTTTGCATTTTCTGTTTGTATCAGTTGCTAGCTAGGGATCAGACACCACTGGACACTTGCCCATTGTGGCTATGTGGTGCTTAGAGCTGTTGACGATCAAATGGGTGTAATAGTGATGCATGTTATCTGCAAGGCAAAAAAGAGAAGCATGCATAGAGCTGCACTGCATGTTCCCACAGGCGGCCACTAGAGGTCATCTCATTCAGGTTTTTCCAAGCATCAGCTCTGGAATATGGGTACCAATCACAGGTGGGATTCAACTGGTTCACCCGGACCTTTAGTTAATTGCTTACGCAGTTCAGAGAACCAGGTAAAAATAAAGTGCAAGAGAGGGGTTTCCCCCTCCCTTCAGTTAATAGCTTCACTTAACAGTTGCAGCTGGAATGCAGCCGGTACACAGCTGAATCAAGTCAATAAACGACAGAAACTGACAGGATTAGGGCAGGG